TGCCTGTGCCCCTAGCTGGTGGCGGAGGAGAACGTGCGCGCCGTGGTCACCCTCAACGAGGAGTACGAGACCCGCTTCCTCTGCTGCTCCGCCCAGGTGAGCCCGGGGAGCTTGCCGGCGTCCCCCCGGGAAGGGGCGCTTGTCGCCCGTCCCGGCGCCGGGTGAGGCTTCAGCCGCCTCCTGCCATGATCCTGGCAGGGACCGCCAAGTCTCACAGCCAAGGCGTGGCTTCTTCGTACCTAACACCGACTTTGAAAACTATGCGACAAACCAAGTAAAACGTGAGGATGCAAGTAAAGTGTTAGAGCTGCAGTGGCAGTAAGGGAAGGGGAGCGTTATCCACGTACATCGCTATACAGATACAAGAACGTGTTTTGTTTCAGGACAAAACAGCTTTCCTTTAGCTGAACCACATCTTTTCAGTTCCCTTTCTGATAGCCGGCACTAAAGTTTTCATATATCTGATTTAACGAATGGACATTAAATTGACCCCACTGAATTTCCCAACTGTCTCATCAGGTTCTGAATTTTCTTTCTGGAAAAAAAACCCCACAAAGTTAACTGATTGAGTCTGCTATGTCCATTTCAGGAATGGGAGGCAATGGGAGTGGAGCAACTGTGTCTCAGCACCGTGGATCTAACTGGAGCCCCCACCTTGGAAAACCTCCAGAAGGGTGTTGAATTCATACTGAAGCACCGAGCCTGCGGTAACAGCGTCTATGTGCACTGCAAGGCAGGACGCTCCCGCAGTGCCACCATGGTGGCAGCATATTTAATTCAAGTAAGAAGGATTCTATGCTAGATGGGGTTTATTTTCATACAGCCTGGGCAAATACAGCCAACCTTTACAGTTTGTTTTTGCTCAAGAAGCCTGAGCGTGTACAGAAGCATTAATATTCCGTGATTTTACAGAGTTTGGACTGGAGACCCATTTTAAGAGAGGTAGATAGCTAGGCCCCAAACTTACATTGCTGTTTTGTGGAATGTGGCAAATGCAGCGTAAATGAACAAGTGAAATTTAACATTTGCTGAACTGCGGTGTTCTTTGATAATCTAATTTATCTTTGCACACCTTGTTCATCTGCACTTATGATACTGTCAAGATAACGCTTCCTGCCAATGAGATAGTGGTGAAGCAGCAATACAGCTGTCATTGTAAGTAGTCTTTTCATTCATCTGTTCACCGGTCTGCCTCTGCCAGCTCAGTTATTAGCACAGGCAAAGATGTTCTGAT